TTGAATCTATGTATTCTATATGGGAAAAGGCACTATATATAGGGATATATAATGCCTTATGCTGAAGGAATTATTCCTTAGGCATAAATAGCATATTCCAATATAATTGGGATAGCTGGTTTTCCCCCATTGGTTTCAGTACTTTGTACTAACCAAATGAGGCCAATTGCCCCTTTTTCTAGAGTATTCTAACATTTCCAATTAGAAAAAATCCTAAATTTACCTTTTGAAGCCTGCTTATTACATTTTACCTGAACCCTTTTACCTGAACCCTAACAATTCTCTAATAAAAACCAAAGGCAAACTGAATCGAAGGGCATCAATAGGTTTTGAAATCAGAAACAATCCAATCATTCACCAATTGAAACTTACATTTAACAAGTAACAAACAGTGAATAACCTATTTCAACCATTGAAACAATTAAATCAGCCAGCTAAAAACAGGGAATCGAATGATGCTAATATGTTGATTTTAACTTCATTGAACACCAACAAAACCAAATTGAAAAGGAAACTGAAACCCTGATGGCAAACTCGAACATTAACCCTAAACTAAATGATTATTATTAGATCAAGTACAGAAGCATAATTAATAAACTTAAAACCAGAAAAACTAGCCATGCAATTAAAGCAAAATAAAAACAATGAAGAATGAAAGAAGAGGAGAAAATCAGAGGGAAACGAATAAAACAAAAGAGGAGAAATAACCTTGTATGCTTTGAAAATCTTTCATGAACTTGGATGAACTCTTCAAAGAAATAAAGTGAACCTTCAACCGTCATTAATCAGTTGTCCTTAACAGGGGACAATCGACTAATGACGGTTTGGGGTTCATCCGACCATTCACTGACCAAGAAAAGAAGAGGGGAAGACCTAGGGCTTTTCCGGAATCTAAGATTTGGAATTTGAACAAACTGAGGTTGATTTGAGGGGGGCTAAGGGTGGTTTGGGGCTTAGAGAGGGGTAAGAGTCATAGGGTGTGAATTTGAAGCTATTTGGAACGATTAAAGTTTTGGCCGGATTTTTTGCTTTAAGATTCGAAAAGCTCGGGCATGATTTGAAGGAAAAGGACTAGGGATATGGATTAAGGAGGTGAAGGGGAGTTTATGGTGTTATTTTGGGGATGATTAGACCACTGGAACCTCCGTGAGGCGATTTCCGACGGTGGTTTACGGTGGAGGCGACATGGAGTATTAGGGCAACTAGGGTTTATTGAGAGAGAGATGAGAGTGATGAATGAAGAGGGTTAGAGGGGGAAGGGTTCTCTTTAGGACAGTTATATGTAAAAGAGGTGAGCAGTTCGGAGCCGTTGGATCAAAGGAATCCAACGGCCATGATGAGGTTAAGATGAAACGAGGTCGTTTGGTGAATGGGAAAACTGGACCGGGTTTGGCAGGGATTGGGCTTGGGTTTTGGGAAAATTTTTGGGCTGATTTAGAGATCAAAATTGGTCCAATTCCAGAAAATTGATTCTCTTATATTCCTCTTGGGCTGATTTTATAGGAGTATTTCGTATAGGGCAAAAATCACATCCTCACAGGTGCCCCTCTTTGCTCGGAAACACGAAGGGTTTTCGGGCAAAGATAAAATGAGCAATTACGATGTATTTAATCCAATTTGAGACTCCGTGAGAAGATTTTTTTGAAAAATCCTAACCGAACCTTGCTTCGGAGGTTGCCTACATATCCTTGGCTACAAAGGAATCAGGTCTGTGTAGTTTTGGAAGTTTGGGTAGCTAGGAGTACCGGAAAACTGTGATTTCACTGCTGTTGCTGTTGTTTCTACTTGCTGAGCTCCTTATATACCAAAATAAAAGATGATGTGCTAAACTAGCTAAGTCTATCAACTACGATTTACAAGATTCCTATCTATAACCTTCTAAAACTTGATCTTGAGTCTTGGCCGGTTCTTCCTGCAGACTCTGATCTGAATCTTCATGCTGCTAGCTGCAACTACTGGTTCATTCTTCTTCAGCTTTTCGGATCAAGGCGGGACATGCGAAGCTTGTGACTTAAATCAAATTTGAGTAGTCCGCATCTTTTCTCCGCTTTTGCATCTTGAGTTCAACTTCTTTTCTTGTTTCTTCTTTTCTTTTATTTGGGTTAAGACTTCTTCTTTTGGTCATCTCAAACCTTGTGCCTCATGGTGAAATCCTATTCAGGCAACCAAGCAAATGAACGAACGAAATTTTATGCCCCAGTTTTCACTAGAAAAATTTCGTGAGTTATTGTATCAAAATCAAAACTATTTCTTCAATGAAAGAAATAAAAGTCAGGATGGTTTATCCTCGGGAAAAAGAGACTAGGGAATGGAGACCCTATATTTAAACTAAAAATCAACTAGGGAGTGGAGACCCTAGGTTGGAAAAACGACTAGGGAGTGGAGACCCTCTGTCTAAAATAAAATCAACTAGGGAGTGGAGACCCTCTATCTAAAATAAAATCAACTAGGGAGTGGAGACCCTATGTCTAAAAATAAACTCAAATAGGGAGTGGATACCCTATGTTGGAAAGGCGAGTAGGGAGTAGAGACCCTATGTCTAAAAATAAACTCAACCAGGGAATGGAGAACCTATGTTGGAAAAGCGACTAGGGAGTAGAGACCCAATGTCTAAAATAAATTCAACTAGGGAGTAGAGACCTTATGTTGGAAAAGCGACTAGGGAGTGGAAACTCTATGTCTAAAATAAAATCAACCAGCGAGTGGAGACCCTTTGTTGGAAGGCGACTAGTGAGTGGAGACCCTATGTCTAAAAATAAACTCAACTAGGGAATGGAGACCCTATGTAGGAAAAGCGACTAGGGAGTGGAGACCCTATGTCTAAAATAAAATCAACTAGGGAGTGGATACCCTATGTTAGAAAAGCGACTAGGGAATGGAGACCCTATGTCTAAAATAAAATCAACTAGGGAGTGGAGACCCTATGTTGGAAAAGTGACTAGGGAGTGAAGACCCTATGTCCATGATAAAATCAACTAGGGAGTGGAGACCCTATGTTGGAAAAGCGACTAGGGAGTGGAGACCCTATGTCTAAGATAAAATCAACTAGGTAGTGGAGACCCTACATTGGAAAAGCGACTAGGGAGTGGCGACCCTATGTCTAAAATAAACTCATCTAGGGAATGGAGACCCTAGGGAGTGGATACCCTATGNGGGAGTGGAGACCCTATGTTGGAAAGGCAACTAGGGAGTGGAGACCCTATGTCTAAAAATAAACACACCCAGGAAATGGAGATCCTATGTTGGAAAAGCAACTAGGGAGTGGAGACCCTATGTCTAAAATAAATTCAACTAGGGAGTGGAGACCCTATGTCTAAAATAAATTCAACTAGGGAGTGGAGACCCTGTGTTGGAAAAGCGATTAGGGAGTGAAAACCCTATGTCTAAAATAAAATTTATTAGGGAGTGGAGACCCTATGTTGGAGTAAATGCAACAAGAGATTGGGGACTCTAGGCTACCATTTTTTTGAATTTTCTTCTTATCTCCTTTTTTGTTTTGTTTCTTACTCTTTTTCTTTTCTTTTTCTTTTTAAAAGAATGAGTGAATGCGGGAAAGAAATTTGGAGAGGACTTCCCTTTTATGGATTGTTGCTGCAAAGCTCTTTTTTAGCCCTTGAGCATTTTCTTTTCTTTTTTTTGATTGCCCCTGCTTTTTGCAAGGTTGCTTTGGATTGCACCTGTTTCATGTTTTCAAACAAAGAACAATTGTTAGTTTGAAACGGTGGTTGGTTTTGTGGCCTTGATTGTTTCTGATCACTTGATCTTAGCCCAACTCGTTGATGAACATCTCTGTTGCCTGCTGGCTTTTTGGAGATCGATCTCTCATCTAAAACCAGAGATGTTGACTTTCCAAAACTTCCAATACGATGGTTCAACCCGTGCAGAGTTTTTGCCTTTTCCTCTTATTTAACCTTTATGGGCATTTGACTTTGGATTTCTTTCCCTTTTCAATAAATTTGAACCCGGAGCTTCGGCCATCATGGCCAGTCGAGATCGACTTGATGCACCTGCTGAGGCTGGGTGATTTTCTTTGAATTTGGCCTTTGTTAAGTAAAATCATATAAAACTAGTCTTGCCATCTTTTCTTTGTATCAATTTCAAAGAGGGATTAGAGCAAAAGGGACTCAAAGAAAAGTAAACAAAGGACAAGATAATGAATTTAATGAGAAGCATCCCTTTTGGGGAAGAGGAAGAAGGACTTATCTGGAGTGCATGCAGACTTCAATAGACTTGACATGCTTCTTAGACTGGATACCCGATCTGCGCAACTATCCAACTTTTTACAAACCCATTATGACTGGTGTTTTAAAATCAAGAAACCTTGCCAGGACTCTTTCAGTGCCAAAGGTTGTAAGGGATTCCTTTTTTTTGATCAACGACGCCCGATGCAGGTTTTCGCCAATTGACCTCTCTCATTTCTCTTCTCGCTGTCGCCTTATAGTGCTCTTTACGAGTTTTCACTAACAAGACTCTCTCATTTTCTAATTTCTCTGCTTACCATTGCCTTACGGTGCCCATATGGGTTTTCACCAATAAGACTCTCTCATTTTATTTCTCTCATCTTGATTGCATCGGATCCAAGTAGCTGCGTTCTCCCATTCTTGAACACTCTCAGTGATTGATCAGAAGTACTTTAATAGGGTTTGGGGTAAAAGAAATTAGGATCGAATTACAACTTTGGAACCACTCAGGCGGAATCAGTGTCGAACCATTACAATATCTGCCCCAGTTACACTTTTGGGGGAAATTGGATTTTTGATTTGGTGTGACTGAAATCCAGAGAGAGGCTGCCTACGTATCCTTTAGGAATCAAGTCTAACATAGTTTAGGGAAACTTTTGTTTTATTACAAACATTTTCAGGTTCCAAAAAGGGTACTGAAAGAAGGGTAACCGGCTCAAAGGGTTAGCAAATGATTGGAGTGTTTGGGGTAGCATGAATGAAAGCCTTCGTCATCCCAATCAGATAATATTGGTACCACAAATGGGTTAAACGTAGTACCTTTTGACTGCGTTTGCATTTACTGCTGTTTCAGAATCATTTCTTTCGATGTCACCCAAGTACAATGCCCCTTTTGGCAACAACTTTCTTATATTGTACGGGCGTTTCCAGTTGGGAGCGAACTTTCCTTTTGCTTCCTGGTGGTGAGGAGAATACGCCTCAAAATTAGTTGCCCCATTTCAAAGTTCCTAGGCCTCACTTTCTTGTTGTAGGCATGGGCCATCCTTTGTTGGTAAACTGCCCATGGCAGACTACGGCCATTCGCTTTTCATCAATCAGGGTTAACTGTTCCAAACGGGCTTTGACCCACTCACTGTCCTCAATCTCAACTTCTACAATGATCTGAAGAGAAGGGATTTCAACTTCTGGAGGTATTACAGCTTCAGTACCATAAACCAATATATATGGGGTTGCTCCGACTGATGTGCGCACAGTTGTGCGATATTCCAATAATGCAAATGGTAACTTTTCATTCCATTTCCTGGAACTTTTGATCATCTTTCTCAGAATCTTCTTGATGTTCTTGTTTGTTGCCTCAATGACATCATTAGCTTTGGGCCGATAAAGGGTAAAGTTCCGATGCGTTATCTTGAATTGTTCGCATATCTGCCTCATCAAATGGGTGTTCAATTTTGCAGCATTATCCTTAATGATAGTTGCAGGAATACCAAAAAGGCAGATGATATTAGAGTGCACGAATTCTACCACTGCTTTCTTAGTGACAGCTTTAAGAGTAATTGCTTCAACCCACTTTGTCAAGTAGGCGATGGCAACCAATATGAATCTATGCCTGTTTAAAGCCTTTGGCTCAATTGTCCCAATGACATCCATGCCCCAAGCAATAAACGGCTATGGTACTGACATAGGATGCAGTTCTGTAGGTGGTGCATGAATCAGGTCACCGTGTACCTGACACTGATGACATTTCCGGACAAAACTGAAAAAATCTTTTTCCATAGTCATCCAGTAATAACCTGTTCGAAGGATTTTCTTTGCCAGGACGTACCCATTCATGTGGAGTCCACACACTCCTATGTGCACTTCATACATGATTCTTCCTATCACGACCCAAACCGATGGGCCGCGACAGGCACTCGGTACCTTACTTAACCGAGTACCAATGTAACGTATCTTTCTTATTGCATGATCATATACATGTCATATACACGTGACATACGAGCCTAATAGGCCAACGTAATAATTTATAAACTCAAAACATAGGCCGACAAGGACGTACAATCTTTCACGTAGACGACATATGTCTACAAGCCTCTAAGAATACATAAATATCATAAAGGTCGAGACAGAGTCCCGCCATACCAAACAATATGCATCTAACTCATACTAACCAAACAAGCAACTCCGAAGCAAATGGAGCGAACCAACATCTTTCGCTGAGCTGATAGCCTACATGGAGGGCTCTCGACCTGTCTATCGGGACCTGCGGCCATGAAATGCAACATCCTCAGGCAAAAGGGACGTCAGTACAAATAATGTAATGAGTATATAAGGCACATAAATAAATACATAAGAGACATGGAAGACATATAGAGTACATGACTCAACCTGTAAGTCTGAATATCTTTTGTAAATCATAAATTACTTTTAGCATCATGCATATGCGTAGGAATGTCATGTCGTGCATAGGTTTATATTTCATAACATCATCAGCCTCTGAGGGCATCCTATCATATCATATCGACCATTGTGGGCAAAATCATCATCGTATACCAGTTGATCAGGTGGTGGTGCGTATATAACGCCATAACTTTTCCCGTATCCCATATACATATATATACATACATATATATGCGTATATAACGATGTTTGAACACATACATATATATATGTGTATATAATGCCGTTTGAATCATATTTCAGCCACTGTGGGCAACATCATCATCATATACCAGCTGATTAGGTGGTGGTGCGTATATAACGTCGTAACTTTTTCCCATATCTCATATACATATATTTACATATATACGGGTATATAACGCCATCTGGCCATGGGTCAATGCACATGAATGCAATGCATGAAAAGTACGTTAATAAAATCTTTCGGAATCTCATAAGACCATTTTGCCTTTGAGTAATATCATAAAGTAAACTCTTTTCAACTTTTGTATTTTTCTAAGACCCATGAACAGAATAAAATATTATGATACACGGAAATTCAAAAACATAGATATCTTTAATACATCTATGAATAGAGTCATTCATGGAATTTGTACATTTGCACGTTTTGTTTGTATCATATGGATCATGCCAAAAGAAAGAAGGGATAGCCTTAACATACCTGAAGTAGTGAAATATCCGTATAATATTCTTGGAAAATGTTGCACCCTACACCTTTAGAACCGCAAAATTTTACGTTGTTAAGCTCCCAATAATTCTCGTGGATTTTGATTGAAAGACGTTTAGCTTGCTAATAATTCTGGTTGCAAGCATTTTGGTTGGAAAAGAAATGGCTAACGTTGGATGTTTTAGTGCTTTTTAATAGACAATTCATGACTAAGTTCTAAGTGTAGGAATGACTTAATATATATTCTGATTGTAGTATTCTTGAAAATGAAATTCTTGGAACTTACCAGCGTGCAAATGTCTCCACTTTCCATTATATATTTGTATAGAAAATTCTTTAAATTGGCAAGAGTATGACACATAATCAAGGAAGACCCTTAGTCTTTTCTTTATGAAGTGGCTAACTGTCACGTTTTGGGGTGGGAATTATTAATCTTTACCCACTTATTAGTTAACTGGGTAATGTCCTATTACCCGGTGATTAATCAATTACCCGTATAATTTAAAAGTTGTCTCAACTTAATTAAATACTACTCTCTTTTAACAAACCAAGTACATCTTATGGTCATGTAGTACCTTGTATGACACTAGTCCATAAATACCGGGTATTTTAGCTCGGGCCATATTTTATCCCAAAAATGTCAAACTTCGACAAAATTTGTTTTCTTCAATTTTCCTTACCCTCTTAACTTCACGAATTTACTCATCACTTATAATCACCAAATAATCTTTTCCTTGGACTGATGTCAATTACCTTACGACAAATTCAACGTACATTACTGCAGGGTGCAACATCGTCGTAACTTATTATTGTGAAGCGTAACATCACTGTAATGTAATACTGCTGGGTAGAACATTGTCGTAACATACTACTGCAGGACGTAACATCATCATAACATATTACTGCAGAGCATAACATTGTCGTAATATAATACTGCGGGACATAATATTGGGGGGTGTAACATCATTCCCCCCTTTGGAACATTCGTCCTCGAATGTTGACCAATACACTTATCATTTTCTTAACTTATATCTTCTGAATACTTTATAATTGTCCTTGTAATCTAGGTAACTGTTCTGTGAATAGGTTCAAAGTCTAGGGCACCCCTCCTTAAGCCTCCTTCTCACGCTACAACTTGTAGTCGAAATCCTTCCAATCTCGTAACTATTGCTACCTTTCATCATGCAGCCTATATAGTTTTGATCTTGTAAGTGTGTCCAATCTCTAGGCTTCACTTGTAGAGATTGATAAGATGTCCCTGTGGGCATTTATGAGTATACTGAAGTTCTTCGCTCGTTACTTGGTTGAATTCACGAATATTGTTATATCTCATCGCATAGGTCCGTTTAACCATCCGTATGAATTTACTGCCATAACTCTTACTTTAATTTATCGTTGCTGAGGTCTACTACCAAATCCCATCTTACTCTCATTGCTCATTCCATATGTATAAATTTAAGTCCTTTAGTGTTTCCTCATTACTGTTTATATTTAGAATGACGACCTAATCTTATCTCATACTTTGTAACTTATGTCCATCCATTGTTGATTCACCTCAATATTGATCTACAATATACCACTGATAACTTAGCCTTTTATGTAGTATTACTGCTAGGATTCACGTTTTATCGGGGAATGTCTGAAATGATTAGATTGATCCACCTGGGGCGATACCCTGCTTTCATAACTGTACCTCAAAGCATCCCAATGTGATTCACCTTGCGTGGGTTCTTTAATCCTGTCCAATTCATAAGATTTGTTTCTTTTCTTCATTGAATTATTACTCAATCGAAGGCCCAAATGTCATCTTTTATCTATCACGATTACACCCTCATTCTATTACCAGGGTGGCATTCTAAATGCTATTAGTTTTAGACTTCTTTGAGTTCATTCAAGATATAGTGAGCTTTGCATAATTTAGAGAAATCATTTGCTCTTCTTGTTTTCATGGGCTTAATCTTGAAGACTTATCCATTTTCGCTACCTTCTCACTCGCCCTTTTTTATCCTTACTCTTGTCTTCTAGAACCTTGTCGCTTCACCATACAATGGCTTGCGACCTAAACAACTCTATTTATATTACTTGCAACCTTTCAACTTGCTTGCATCATAGATTTCCTTATGTCATTCTGGGACATCAAGCGAGGCATCACATCGTCTCTGACGCTTCTTTACTGTCTTAATTAGCCTCCTCGATATCGAGAAATCATAGGCTATGGGATATGCCACTGACTATGCCGCTATCATTCCTAGATATTGAATCCCATCACATCTAGCCTTCTATCCGAAGTATGAACTATTCGCATATTCTGCCTTTGAGTATCTCGTACGTTTTTCACCTTTACTTTACTTACCTTAAAATCTTGCATCGTATCTTCTATCTCTTTCTTGACCTCCCTTCCACAGAGGTATAATTCACATCCGTAACATGAATCTCTATTATAATTCTTACACATCTAGTGCATACACAATCCGGTGGGAGCTTCGTACTGACTTCTTATGAGGCTGGTACTCTTCAGTTGGCTTCAACATAGAGCTATTATAAAATATGGCTACTATACTATCTTTCTTATACCTCTTCTACTTAAGAGTGATCCTGAGGTCTATAATTCTCTTGGTCCCTCCTGTTTTGTGTAGTCGATATAACTCTTTAGTCTCCTCTTCTTTTGGATCGGCCTCAATGTAGGCTTAAGTTATCCTTCGACCTGCGGCTCCTGGTATTAGTTATTACTTTAGCCTTTCATAGGTGATGAGGGATATTTATGATAAAATCCTTTGACAATTTAATCCTTCATCTATGATCTGGGCTCAATTCTTTCTTTTAACATATACCAGAATCTTCTACGGTTGTATATGATGCAGGTATAAAACTCCAAACTCTTAAGTGTGTTCATAACGTCACCAACTCGGGATCATTGATCGAATAATTTCTTTCGTTCCTTCTTAGCTTTCTTCAATATAAGCTATTACCTTTCCTCGTCTTCCTGCCCCCTTGTTGCGTGCATACTTAGCTTATCTTAGTTCCCACGCATACTATAATTTTTGTCGTAACTCATATGACCTTAGAATTTTGCCTTTAATTATTTTTCTTCCCGTTCATTGTCCATGGTAGGGCCCACTTTCCTTTGGAGTACTTACAATGTTGTTGTGAGACTGTTGTTACATGGGTCGTTGTGCTTTTATAGTACTTAGGGAGAACCCTTGATTCCTGTAAAGTTGTGAGCTTATTATGGACCTTTTGATGTCCTTCCTTGCCTATAATTATTCGTAGTTGCTTACCTCCATTCCGTTGTGCTTGTAGGGTTGCTTTTGAACTGATATTTTGACTGTCTCCCTAGTGACACTCTCTTTTATTCCCATAACATTCATATGGTACCTTTAACTACCCCGACTCTTGTTTGAATATATCTCACGTATTATAATGATATTTTTTGAGGCTGAATTCTCCATGTTGGTTTCTACTATGTTTATCTTACACGATCTGATGACTCGTCTATAACCTCCTGTTTAGCCATAACTAAGATCTT